GTGACTTAGATCAACATAAAAGAATCCCTTATATATGGGAGTTTAAAAATAAACTGAAGGTAATATTTTAAATTAATGGGGAAAAATAAATTATGCAATAAATAATCATATAATAATAAGTTGGATTTTGGAAAAATTTATAAAACTGATTGCTACCACACAAGATACAAAAATATATTCTAGAGTGATTCGAAATTTTAATATTAAAAACAAAATACAAAATGGTCAAAATAATAGAATATATTTACATCTTAGTGTAAGCAATTGGCTTTTTTTTTAAAGATTTTATTTATTTATTTAACAGAGAAAGAGAGCACAAGTAGGCAGAGAGGGAGGCAGAGAGAGAGGGGGAAGCAGGCTCCCTGCTGAGGAGAGAGCCTGATTTGGGCCTCGATTCCAGGACCCTGAGATCACGCACGACCTGAGCTGTAGGCAGAGGCTTAACCCACTGAGCCATCCAGGCACCCAGCAACTGGCTTTTTAAGCATGATGTGAAACTTAACACCTAAAAAAGAAAAAAATGATGCATTTGTCTGAAATAAATTGAAGCTTCTATACAGGAAAAGATACCACAAAGTTAAAGATAAATGATAATCAGCAAAAAAATTTCAACTATAAATACAAAGCTTAAAGAACTTACTATAAAGAAGCCTAAAAATGATTTTTAGAAAGAAAATGGACAAAAGGCAGGAAAGGCCAGTTTGCAAACAGAGAGCGACAATGGTCAATAAATATACAAAAATAAAATATTCCCAATATTTTAACTGGGAAAAGAAATACAAAATACAAAAAGAGATATAATTTTTACTCATCAGAATTGCAAAGATGGCAAAGACTGATAATACTAAATACTAGCCAGGTTGAGGAAATAGGAGTTCTTACTGGTGGTAGACATGTCAGGTGGCTCCCTTCAAGAAGCCATCATACCAGGGTTGCCTGAGTGGCTCAGTGGGTTAAGCCTCTGCCTTTGGCTTAGGTCATGATCTCAGGGTCGTGGGATCGAGCCCTACATCGGGCTCTCTGCTCAGCAGGGAGCCTGCTTCCCCCCCACCTCTGCCTGCCTCTCTGCCTACTTGTGATCCCTCCTCTATGTCAAATAAATAAATAAAATCTTTAAAGAAAAAAAAAAAGAAGTCATCATACCTTCAGTGGGTTGAGCATGCTCTTAGTTATCCTTTTATGTATTTTTCAGAATTTTGTTAAAAGTAAATATTACTCTTAAGATAGAAAAAAGAGAGAGAGAAAAATTAGAACATGGAGGAAAAGGGAGAAAAATGATAGAGATTAACATTATTAACATATAAACTCCTGAAGATCAAGATCAAGATCTCCACAAGGTTATTTGAAAATTCAAATAACATATGAAGTTTCTATCAGCTTAAGGTATCACTATCATTAAGGACTGCTTCCTTCCTGTTCTGTAATTTTAAGTATTTTTCATTATATATGAGTACTCAATATGCACTATTTATTCTTAAGGAAAGTAGGCATTCGATAAATAGTTGAGTAAATAAATGATGTGTAAACAGTAGGTAAATTATATAATCTTAATCTGTAACTCAGAGAAAGGTTGGAAAGAATTAGCATTATTCTAAGGAGATGCACTAAATAATTTTAGCAAATTCACAAAATACTGTATTCTTTTCTTCACGGTTATCTTGTTTCTTATAAAATAAAAAATGTTGAAAGTCTTTAAAGTCGACTACTAAAAATTAGCTGTGTTACTATACAGATGGATTTAGAAAACAAAGTGCAAAATCTGAAACCTGTGCATTGGACGGTTCCGCTGTTAAAAAACATCAAGGTCAAATGCTCACCCTCCCCATGACCACTGAGCTGCAGTATTGAGGCAGAAACTGGGTTGTGCATAGTGAAGAACACAAGCAGAAAACAGACAAAGATGCTCCCCAGAGCACATGTTGTTCTTCAGTGATCGTTGCCCACAGTACCTTAATGTTCTCCATGAATTTTTGTGCAGTAGGTAGGATTCCCAAGAACACTTAAGAAGCTTCTCCCCCGCAAATTCTGCAATGTACTATAAGACTAAGCTTCAAAAGATGTGAGTGTTCCTTACTCCGATCACATTCAACCAACAAAGACCCTTAGAGTGCTCAGAATATTAATGAGTCTAATTAATGTTTACTTAACTCCTTCTCATGGCCCAAAACACTAGGGGCCTACACACAAGAAGTAAAAGACAAAGACTGTCATGCCTGAGTCAGTTGAAAAGCACGTATGCAACACCTACTCTTCGTGAAGTGAAGAGCTTATGAATTAATGAATGAGATAAAAAGAGAATGCCCATGCTTGATTAGCCATATTACTGCCATGTACTTTTAGGAGGCAGAGGGACAAATTCCATGGATGCCAACAGTGGAATGCTCCTGACCCATATGTTATTCAAAAGAAAGTAGGAGGACTGAAATCTGGGGACTAAGAGATTAAACAAAATTGCAGAAGGGATAAAGGTAACATGAGAATGATTCAGTGGTGAGTGATTTTTTTCCTCCTTGATAATGTTATTTCAACACCCACCTGCTATTCAGTAGTACCTTGGAAACTGGCATATAACACATGGCTCACCAAAGACTGGAATTCAGAAATTAAGTATCTAACATGCTAAGTGATATGACTTCATTAGAAGATAATCATTAAGGCAATAGTTGCAAGTTTAAGTCCAAAGCCTTATTGAATGGGAGATTGCCATTGGAATCCTGGACTTTCAGAGCTGGAGTGAATCTTACAGATCATCTGTCTCACCTATTCCCACTTCAGAAGGAGCTGAAAGCATTCTACTCAACACACCTTATCTCATTAAACTTGTTTATTCAACAAATATGTGAGCTCGTCTTTATTGACCCATCTCCATCTACTCTAAGTGCTAGAGATGCACTAATAAACAAAATAGATGAAGTCCAGAACCTCAGGAAGCTTTTATTTTAAGTTGGGGTGACCAGGTGAAATACATAGGTAAAACTGTGGTACATTGCCCTGAGATAGCGCTAAGGAAAAAAAAAAAAAAAAAAAAAAAAAAAACAGCAGAGGACGCACATTGCGTATCCAAGTGAACAATCAGGTAGGCCATGAGGTACTCAGGACTACTCCCTCAGGTTTTTAAACAGAGAAAATAGATGAGATCACCTAACCAATGAGTATAGATAGAGAAGTCCAAGGGCAGAGTGCTGGGACACTCCAACATTAAGATCAGAAGGAAGAGACACCAATAAGATGGATGAAGAAGGAGCCACAATAAAGTGGGATTAAAAACCAGTGTGTCCTGGAAGCCAAGGGACAGAGTGATCAAATGCATTAGATGCTGCTGTCAGGTCAGGACAAGAAGGAGGCAGAGGCGGCCAGTGGGTTGAGTGATGTTGGAGGTCACTGAGGATCTTGAAGAGTGCAGTTTCAGGGGAGCCATGAGGGTGGAAACACGACAGGAGTGAGTCCAAGACAGAAGAGAAGAGAAATCGGGACGCTGTTCTTCCAAGGAGGTTTGCTCTGAAGGGAAAGAGATAAATGGGGGAGTAGCTGCAAAGGGTCAACAGACAGGTTAGGATGGGCGTTGTTACTAACGTGTGACTTGATGGATCGAAACAAATTGCCCAAGCTACAAAATCTGTATACGGTGAGAGCCAGATATTATGATCCCAGAGCTCACCTTCCTAACCTACACTCCACAGCAAAGGGATGAATGAAAGCCAGTCAATCACATGCCCGCCTATTTATGGGAACCAGCCCCAGCCTACACCAAGCATAGCCAAAGTTGTGAATGCATCGAGAGAACAAGCTATTTACAATTTCCCATGTGCTACCTCTCACATCTAGGGCCTTTTCATGTTATTTTAATTGTAATTGTAAGAGGAAGGAAATGAGTTATGATTTTACTACAAATGTTAACTTCACATGGGTGAGAGTTAATGCCAGGCCTCCTGTTGCAGGGAAGCCCAGTCTTCTCATCCCGCAAGGATATTTGGTCATCTACTGCTTTGTGGCAAGTTTTGTAGACTTTTTAATTTTATATTCTTCTTATTTTTATTTATTTTTTTAAAGATTTTTAAAATTTATTTGTTTGAGAGAGAGAGAGCACAAGCAGGGGGAGCGGCAGGCAGAGGGAGAGGGAGAAGCAGGCTCCCCGCTGAGCAGGGAGCCCCATGAGGGGCTCCATCCCAGGACCCTGGGATCATGACCTGAGCCCAAGGCAGACACTTAACCCACTGAGCCACCCAGGCGCCCCTATTCTTATTTTTAAAGTGAGCTCTGAATTGGAACCAAGAGTTCTCCGCTTATTTCTGTGCCTAACGAGTTGGGTAACCAGTGGTCTTCACTCATTCTTCAAAGGTGACCATGTCCTCACCTGTGAAACAAGACAAGTAGACAAGTTTGTCCCTCTCTAAAACTACAGGGTTCTGTGGGTGTATTTTGAAATTCCTCAGCTCATTGGAATCAAGGACTGTGACCTTTAAGCTGAAAGCCCTGGGGCACAGGGCGCCTGGTGGCAGGCCCTCAATAAACGTGTTTGGTCAACTGATAAGCATGGTCTGGAATGCGGACACTCAATTAATATGCTTTGTTGCATATGCATTTTCCTTTTCATACTCAACACATCTTGACTTGATCGTTCTGCTCTGTTTAAAATAAAAAGCAATGTGCTCCTTGTCAGTGTCTTCCCTTCCGGATACCAATCTCTAGGGACATCACTGATCACCACCTCTCCCTCCCCATCCGCCCCATTCCAAACTAGCCAGAAAAGCATTATAACTCCGCAACTTCAAAGTTTAAAGAATTCCTTAAAAATCACTTTAAATGTTTTGAGTAACAGTGTTCAACAACCAAAGGAGCAAGGGGCCCTGTTGGGAATCCCCTGGCTCTCTGTCCCCGGCATGGATCACCCGCTAGGGGACTCCGCCGGCCCCTCGAGTCCCCGCACCCTCCACCGCCCTGGAGCCTCCCAAGGCCAGAGCCCAGCACCCACGCCAGCACGGAGGAGGCCCGGCCCCTACCTGGCGGGTAATACCGGAGTAGGAGGCCCTTGAGCTTCATTTTCTCCTTCCCAGACCCCTGGTCAACGCTCTTCGTAGCCATGGAAACAGCCAAACAGCAGCTGTGCTTCGGCGCGCATGCGCGAGCATCCAGGGCGCGGAGCTGGGCTTACAGACTTCGGTAGTTGGGTCTGCGGCGCCCGAGACCCGTGGCGGGTTGGGGGGCGTCCGCTCGGCGAGGCGAGGCCAGGGAGCACGCCCTGCCCCTGCGGGTGCCCGGGCCTGCCTGCTTGTTCGTAGGGTGGGAGACGGGGGCTCCAGGCCGCGTCACTGAAGAGAGCGCTGCCACCCTCGCTCCGTCTGCACCGTCGGAGCCTGGGCTGCGCAGGGACGGGGACCCCTCCCGTTCTCAGTCAGGGTGACTTCACAACGGGCGAAGCACTCTACGGAGTGCTGGCCGCGCACACTGTGGCCCATTGAGTTTCCAAGGAGAAGGGACGGGAGAAAAGTCCCCTCCTGGTCACCATTCCGGGCCTCTCCTTATGCCCTGTCCTTGTTCCCACAAAAGAATTAGGACCACGATGTATCAGGCTACATTTCCTGATGCTGTGTGGTGCGCTGCGCTTGGCGCCTTATACGCCTGTCGCTGTAGAGATTAACAGAGGTTTGAGTGGTGCACCATTTCTTCCCTCCCCCTCTCACGGATGCAACAATCCAGCATCAGAAAAAGTGAGGACCCCCACCCACCCCCAACTAGTGAGCCACAGAAGCGGGATGGGAGGGCAGGTGCCTCAGAAGCCTGTCAGCTGGAGTCCACAGGGTACTGTCCACCCAGGGTATATGGTTTCCCAGACCTTTTTGTGGCCTATTCGGTTTCTTGCCAGAGTCGGTTCTTTGCCTGTAAAGTCCAGTTCCCGTGAGGAAGATGGCCCTGGAAGAATCAGTGGGGCCAGACTGTCCATTTCCTATAAGGAATTTGACCTAAATTCCTAAGTCAGAATATCCCCAAAGGTAAGCACTTCCTTCGTGGTCTTCACAACTGTGGGCCACGTCTCCTCATCGTCTCCATGTCAATTCTCCAAATTGACTCACTTATTTTACTTCACGCTTTTAAATGCAAGTTTGCAAGAAAATTACTGTTAATCCTGTAAATTAGAATTTTGCCCAGTTGTCGATGAGGAGCAGTAGGTAACTGTAAAAATAAATGCGATTTTTTAAATGCTATGGAATGACCCTATACTCTTACCTACCAGAGACTATGAACCAAAGGCCTTCCAAAGGCCTTCCCTACAAAACAGTAGGGAAGTATCATCAACTATTTGAAATTTTCAAGATAGCCTAGCACCCAACGTAGCCTTTCTACTTCATGTACTCAGAAGGCTGCAGAGATCATTGAAATGAAGAACCTCTGCATGGAAAAATTAAGCCTAATACAAATGGGAAGCACATAAAAATCCTAGCATCCCACACTTGAGAAACAGAAAAAACAGATGAAATGTAAGATTCCTTCTAGCTCAAAGTCTCCCCAAATCATTAAGACTCTGGAAAAGGTTTAAGTGGGGAAGGGTGAAGAGATCATCTATAGAAACAAGAAGTCTTGGGGCTCCAGAATGGCTTAGTCAGTTAAGTGTTGATTTCCACCCAGGTCATGATCTCCTTGTCATGCATGATCTCAGGGTCATAGGATTGAGCCCCACCTTGGGCTCCTGCTCCTAGGAAGTTGGCTTGAGATTCTCTCCCTCTCCCTCTGCCCCTCCCCCAGGTATCTCACTCTCTCTCTCAAATGAAATAAATAAAATCTTAAAAAAAAAAAAAGAACAAAGTCTTTAGTGGATTTTGTTTCCCCATTTATTGTTTATGCTTGTTACATTTTAAATGAGGCCTTCGAAAAAAATAGTAACTTTACAATGGAGAAATCCGGTGGACACCATTTATTTAACCATTAGGATAGAAGTTAATATCCCCAATGTAGGGACAAACTGACATTCATAGCTCGCTATACAAGGCAATGATAAGGACACAGCAATTCTCTGGAATTCCCTCCTGCAAAGCATAACCTGTCCCTTTAATCATGAGGAAACATCAGGACAACCAAAGTTACAGAAATTGTATGAAATAACTGTCAAGCCAAGAAAAATAAAAGACTGAAAACTGCTTCAGATTAAAGACACTAAAGACATAGAACAAATAAATGCACTGAGTGATGCTGGGTCCTGAACCAGGAAGAAAATTATCTGTAAAGGACATGACTGGGACAATTGAATGAGACATTGTAGTTTAGATTATATTGTATCAATAATGAGTTTCCTGATTTTGATCATTGTGCTATGATTATATAAGACAAGGTCTTTGTTCTTAGAAAAAATACACTGATTTCTTTAGAGATAAAGGGGTATGATACCTCCAATCAACTCTCAAATGGTTTTGAAAATCTTATATTTATGTGTAGGGGTGTGTGTGTGTGTGTGTGTGTGTGTGTGTGTGTGTTTGGATAGGTGGATGAATAAGAAACAATAAAGCCACTGAGAAAAAAATACTGAATCCAGCCTGGCACAGGACTCTTTTTGAGAAGTTCCTTGTCCTACTCTTGCAACTTCTCCATAAGTTTGAAATTCTTACAAAATAAAAAGTGGCCTTTGTTTTCCACAGAACAAGCCAGGCTTCATAATGTTCCAGGATATAGATAACAACCACAGAACCATCTGGCTCCACTTTTGTTAAGAGATCCCCAAGTTCAAGTTCACTCCCTATTTCACCTCTGATTCTACCTCCATCTTCCTCTAGTTGAGACCAAGAGCCTCTACCACTGTTACCTACCTATCATCACCACTCCTTCCATTTCCAGGAGTTCCTAAGTGGCTCTTGTCTTTCTGTTCCAGGTAAAGGATTTCGTCTACTTCCATGAACCAAACTTTAACAGGTTGTACTTTTGCTTCTTAAAAAAAAAAATTCCAGCTCTGCAGCTTTTGACATCCTTCCTTTGGCTCCAAGAGTTTAAGCCAAGTTCTCCCACATAAGTTAGAGAACTTCCTCACCACCTTCACGTCATATCCAGGGCCCTCTTTACCGACTCTGGGACACAGGCCTTTGGTATGAGGTCCCATCTTTCCAGAGCCCATCCCCACTAGGGGTCAGCAGCCCTCCTCTCTGTCTTTGCTTCAGAGTAATTTATCTGTCAAAACATCCCTACTGTCCCAAAGTTCTCTCACATTTCCTCCCTAACACCTAGATAGTCTCTGCTGATGGGATTCCTAGTGTTCTGACTTGATAGCCCAGAATCCTGCCACAAGTATCCAGTGTAAGTCCCCCCGGCCCCCCTTTCAGGAGGCAATAGGCTTCTCTGCAAATGAAGTGGTGATCCAAAGAGAAGTAAGTGAAGTTCATGAGTGTAGACAGATTTCTCTTCTGGCCTTGGCTTATGTGGAGGTTAAAGCTATGCCTAATTGACTCACCATGTACTCATTCCTGGAAGGCACTGCATGAATCTCTCGACCTGAGTAAATGTCTGTTTCATACTAATTCACGGCCATTAGCCATGAATGCTGTACAGAAATCTACAAAAAGAAAACGACATTGTTCAAGTGAAGGGTGCTCATCTTAGGATCTGGCAGACTCGGTATGACTTCCTCACGGGGCTACTCTAGACACCTTCCTAAAAGTCATATCATACTCTCCATCAATTCTTGCATTCTGTATTGATTTGACCATTGACTCACTAGAGCAACAATCGCCATTCATAAAGGATTCGTATATATAAATGTAACATTTGACTCTGGGTTTCTTCCCACTGACACCTTCCTTAAACAGCCAGAAGCTTAAAAAATTTTAGTATCATTAACTTGACTCCCCCGAAGTAATTCTGTCTGGTGGATCAAAGCCACACTGGGTTTCTGTTCTCAGTGTGTCTCTGGACCAGCAGCATAGTCCCACCTGGGAACTTGCTGGAAATGTAAATTCTTGCCACACCTTACCGCCTACAAGATCAGAAATGCTGGTAGCGAATGCCTGACAATCCCTGTTTGAACAAGCTTTTCTGGTGATTCTGGTGAACAATAAAGTTGGAAAACCACTCAGTTGGTACAATATGTTACAATGGTGGGCCAGGCCTGAGAGAAGGTGGGCGCTCTGCCCCTACCATCAGGCCTTTTATATATCCTGAAGTCTTTCCTGATTGTCGGGGACAGTAAGCGGCTTGGTCACATCCGAGGATGTGAGTAGGACCCAGAAACAGTGTGGGAAGAAACTGGAATTCTCTACCTAATTGGGTTCCAGAGGCTCCGATGTGCTGAGAGACACCAGTGGATATCAGAGTGTGAAGGAAGGCTGGGGGTGGGGGAATGTCTCCAAGTGGAAGAGAGAGGGAAGGAGGGGAAGAAGGACGCAGGGAGGGAGGCAGGAGTCAGCCTGGAGGATCTGGCTCAGCACCGCGGCAAGACTGATGGGCAGGAATGCAGTTCCAGTGGAACATGGTGGCTCCCATTTGACCCAGTTCCTCCTGGAAAGAGCCCTGGCATCAATGGGACCCTATAATCACTAGTCTCGGGGGCACCCAGTCCCCTTCCTTTTCTTCCTGGAAAGAAAGTACAGAGAATGAGATCTGAATCTTCCAAGACTACCAAGAGAGATCTGCTGAGCCTCCCAGGAGGTGGGACCCCAGTACAGCTGCCCCAGAGGGGCTGCATCCGGGCTTTTGAAACTTCTTCCCATTCCTGCCTCCACCTCACTGAAGGACCTGTGGAGTACCTGATCTTATCTGGGACTGGAAAACCAGTGACACCAAGGGCCACTAATGGATGCACTAAGTATATTTAGAGGGCCTGCCAGTACCAGGCATGTTTCAGGTATAAAGGGTCTAATTCTGAAAACGATAATTTGGAGGAAGTCATTCCTAGAGAGGATCAGACTTCAGGTGGGTTTGAAACTATTGTGTTTATGGGTGGGGGGCATGTCCCTAGGCAGGACTGCATTTACAGTCTCTGAGCTACTCCTACCAGGACCTGCAGGCCGCGTTAACAGGGCTGGTCCGCAGTAGCTTCTGTCACGAAGAGCAGCATGCCTGACCTGAGACCTCACCGGGCCATCTA